AATGGATCCATCATCCCTAAGGACGCCAACAATAATACAGGAATCCTCCTCTCTTCGTGTGCTACAAGAACCCCTTTCTCCGTCCATATCTTCCATCGGAATATCGGCTCAAGATTGGCTGCACTTTATCATCATTCATATCCTATTATTACCATTGAATATTTTGACTTAATAAAATTAGGAGACTTTCAAAAACAGGACAAAATTGGTATATGCCTACATTTTATTTGTTTGGAATTAGTGACGAAAAAATAGGCAGCCTTTAAAAATCAGGAATCTCATTTTTATTGGGTAGACTTCAAGATAAAATTCTAGATTCTCAATATGCAGATGATAGATGTATCTGTAAGTACTTGTTCTGTCTTTTTTCGATAAACTTTAAAATTTTCCAAATCCTTAACCCGGTTGCTGTCTATCTTAGGTAGATGGAACTTCCCCTTGTTAAGTTGACGATGCCAAAGTATTTCGATATCAGTCAACATCCATGTATTACTGCATACAGTGGCGTGCAACAAATATTTTTCGAGAAAACGTTAATAACTTTGACGTGCTATTACCTAAAGTAATTATTGCTGTTTTATATCTTTTGAAAAAAATTCAATATTGGGAGGGGTCCACTTTTGAGGCGATTTAATTTCTTTTATGAAGACATTCTTGGTGGCACTAGATGAATTATAAATGAGTATATTAAGAGAAAGGGTCCAATCTCTTATTGGAAAAGTATACTAGCGGAAATATCTTCTGATTTTTATATGTGTATGTGTCCGATTGGTAGAGGTCAAGATGCCAGAGTGAGTATGTATTTTGAATACATGGATTTTAATCAGAATTTCACTTATTTGTAAAGTATTACTTCCGAATAATTCCATTTTGCGAAATAGTTTTTTTTCATAGAACTAAGTAATCTTCACTTCTTGTTAGTAGAAATAAAATCCTATAGCACAAATGCAAGAAAAATCGATCACAATCACAAAAAATGGCTTACATATAATAGTTTCCAAACGTTTGTAATTCATTATCGTTAAATTCTTAAGTATAATTAACATTAACACCAAAATTATGCTCAATTCCATACGACTTTCCCACAATGCTGACCTTGTGGAAAATCATCGTCCCAATATTTAATTAAAACATAAAATAATAAATCTTCAATTGAGTCACAATTTTTTCAAATTTTGCTTGTCGCCAAGAATTGTTTAGTAGGTTTTTCCTGTAGTAAATAATAATTTGAGAAAGATTCTTCATTAGTATGTGAGATTTGAATAATAAGTGCCTATTCGTACAAGGTCCCTTGCCCACGCATATGTCACTTGCTTATAAGTATGTCTTAATTAAATTAAAAGGAGTTAGATTTTAGAGAGCATATTTCGATACCATTGTTATGTATTGTATTCAGGGGGGAGAGGCGAGTGCGGGGAAGATTCTCTATTTATTTATGGTAAAACAAAAAGGTGTCTATTATCTTTGGTCACTTTCCCTGTTAAAAATTAAGCTTGTGCATTTGAAGGAACGCTACTGACAGAAGGTCGCGCGTGCCCGTGTGTGCGAGTGTATAAGTGTGAAACAAATCGACGACGTCGAACGGGACGGGACGGGAGCACTTTCCGGAGCGCCTCCACCGCCGTCGTCGTAGTCGCCGTCGCCGGCGTCGTGCTACAATGCTACAGAAGGCCCATTAAGGTGCGTAATGGGCAGTGGTATAAGAGAGGCGCGCAGCGAACGCGGCGTCCTCGTGCATCGATTAGACATAACGTCGCTCTCTCTACTCTCTACACCACCGCCGCCACCACCCCCCTCAACCCCCAGCACGCCACCCGTCCGTCCGTACGTCCGTCCGTGTTGCTACCCTTTTGTACGTCAACTCACACTACCATCACTACCGATGACATCAAGACGGACAATTTCAACCCCTCTCGTCCTCGAGCCGCTCACCCAGAATCATCCAACGACACCCTCCCCCCTCTCTACATCGTCACCCCCTGCTAGTCCATTCTGTCTTGCCCCCGTAAGCCAGCCACCCACTACACCTACCACTCTTCCGCCGAACAGTAACAACAAGCGACTAAATAAATATTCTCGAAATGCCTCAACCCCTTCCGCTTTCTATCTGCTTCTGAACCCGATGAGCATGTTATCGAATTATAAAATTTCCTTCAAACCCCTTCTTCACCCCCGACAACAAAAAAAGGTAAGGGCATTTCAAATGTTGATGTTTTAACGAAATACACTCACATAGACCTATATCTATCTTATCAACTTACTGCCAACTGTATTTGCTGAAAGTTTTATTGTAAACCAGCGATTATGCATGTCTATCTATTCTATATTTACCTAAATTAGACAGAGTGATTATTGAGACAGAATTAATCTAATAATGTAGCTATGTTACAAAATATCTAGTAAGATTTGGATAAAGCAATAAATTTTGATTTATTCCCGAGGTAAAAATGTTCAGTCTCTCAGAGTCTCTGAACGAGAGACTCGAGTCGCTCATAGAGATCCTCATTTCCTATCCAGTCTCTGAACGAGACTCGAATCTGTCAATAATTGGTGTCTCGATAAACATGGTAAAAAGTTCAACATATTTCAGAGACCCCAGTCTTTCTACGAGAGACTCGAGTCTCTCAATTTTTCAGTTTTATTGATTCAGTCTCTCTGTGAGAGACTCGAATCTCTCAATTAACAATTTTATCGTTCGAGATGGTTTCAGTACAGAAAGCAGCATCAACCAATTTANAACTAGTAAAAATAATTTCTTTTTTCACTTCTAATGCTGTTTTTGCTAGGTAACGTTCTCCATTTCTAACAATATTAATGATGAATAATATCTAGATAAAGTAATTAATTTATTAAATTATCTATAAAATTTAGTCAGTTTAGATTTTTAACTTTTATGCATAATTGTTATTTAATCACATCGTAGCATATATATATCTTTAATAAATGTACAGCTCGAGAAGAATCTGGCCAGCGATATTGGTTAGTAATTTTTGTATACATCCATGTGTAAGTATATGTAGGTATAATATCGCGGTGGACAGAACAGGACAGATTCAGCTGGTTTGCATACATTTAACAAGCACTGAAAGTTAAGGAACGTTATTAATAAGTGTTACGATCGGGACAATAAATGATTATTTAAGAGGAGCCCAGCGGGATACACGTTGCCTGGAAGTTGGTGGAATGTCGACTTATAATTCGTCCCTATCGCGAATCGTCATCCTTCCTTTTCTCTCCATCTTTATTTCTCTCTGTATCTTTCTCCTTCTTGCACATATACCTACTCCGTTTCTTTCGTTTCTTGATGCAACTTTTGTTAATTTACCAGATTGATTTACGCCATTCGTTAAATTTCCCCGCTGCCATAAAACGTTAATGTCACGAACGGCCTACATATTTTTACAAAAAGTCAATCTATAGAAGCTCAACACAGACAGACAGACAGACAGACACACCGACAGACAGTCCAAACAAACGGCTAATTAGCTTGATGAAGGCTCACCGTTCAATCGTCAGAAAATTCCTAGAACTTTAACTACGTAACTAACAAACTATCGCCGTACGTATATTTTAAAGGAAAGACTTATCTTACAAACTGGTTTATATGTCCACACGAAGTTCCTAATGAATTAATTTTAACTTCAGAAAGGACACACGATGCCAAGACTCTTACAATAGCTAAAGTTTCAACTCAAATGTTGGACCAATATTAGGAGTCACACCAAAAGACTTTTGTATGAATTATCGCAAAAAAGAAAATAAAGTAAGTAACAAACTAAGATGGAATAATACAAAACTACCAATACAAGCCGACATAAGAAACTTGAACAGTCCTAAAAGTTCCCCCTTTGTGAAGGAGTGGATAATCCTAGGTCAAGTGCATTACCAAACAAGCCGAAAAACAAAATTAGCTAAAGATCTCATTGTCCTTCTTTTCTTATCATTCACGTAATTTAATACAAGGACACATGTATATATATGTGTTGGTTGGTTGTTTTCGATATTTCGGCGTTAGAATGTGAATATTGTCCGGTGTTATTGCTCTTGATCTCGTAAATATATATTAGAAGCAAAAAAATCAGACTGCAAAGAATCTCAAGTAATTGTAAGTCTTACATTAGTTAGATGGGTAAGCATGTTGAATATCGATGCATTTTGGAGTGTCTAATGAAAATTCTTTAATAAACTGTGACGTTAACTTCAACAAGTGATTTATTATTGTAGTATATTAATATATTGGTATGTTTATTTTACGTAAAGTAACAAAATACCATAATTGATGCTAACAAACTGGGCCTTTTACCATAAACAAGGAGTAAATAGGGCGTCGTCAACGCAGCACTACCACTGAGGATGTCAGCCGCAGTAGCTGACGAAACGTCTGGACAAAATAGTTCACCTAGACCACGGCTCTATAGTCCGAATCTTCATTCTACTATGGATTCCGGCCGTGAAAGCCTTTGTTCTTGTCCATTTGCTCATTTCATGAGCCGTCACTGGTTCTAATATTCCAATGTTGCTATATCAACAATACTTATGAATATCTTTCAATTTTAATTTTACATGTATGTGGTTTCCTGTGGTTTTATGACCACCGATGAGTCTCAATCCATTCCTGTCTGTCTTATTCGTTTAGTATTGGGTTTTGTTTTGCTTGGAATCCAAAACGAAGTATCACCCGACCCATTCGTTTTCCGAACAAATTATGCAGTAACAATTAATTCACGTTAATTGTTCTTGCACGTCAAAGGCAGCGAAACGTTAGCGTGACACGTTGCAGTAGTTCATTCAAGTACAGTGACATCGATATATTATGTACCTGCTCGTGGTTACAGACTTCGGGAAATATTAAAGCTAAACTAACAAAATTGCACACATCCTTACGCATTTAAAATAAATGCTCACTTAAAACGAATGCCTCGTATTTTTTCTAGATCAAAGTTAGTAATATTTACAATAATGTTTCTCTTTCTTCTCTTAATTTGGTCATTCCTTTTCAGAATGGATGACAACTACGAAGACGATGCCCACTACTGTCTGAAGTGCCATTCCACAATAATTGGCCTAGATAACTACGTTAACCATCGCAAACTTCTCTGTAACAAAACCACTCCCCAGCTCCTTTCAGCCGACGAAGGTCCTATTACATTGAAAGCGGACGACTTCTTTTCTTCTTTGGAATTGCAGAGCAGTTCGAAGAAGGTTTCTCATACCGCCACCAATTCAAAAACCAGCGGAATATTTACCAGGAGCAAAACTCTCGCAGCTCTTCACGGCAATAACGCGTCCACTAAAGATTGCTCCACATCCCCCACGCTTCAAAAAAATAATACTGAAAATAACTCCTGGGTAGAAGAGAGCAAAGAAAGGGAAAAGAAAAATATCGTTAACAAAGATTGCGATACAGATGAAAGCGACGGAGAATCTGTCGATTTAGTATGCGAGGATGATGACTCAGATGAAGACGACGAGGAAGAGGAATATGCAAATGTACCACCAAAATCGTTCACCGGAGGAAAATGGAAACCTCGCTCCCCTATCCAATGGTACGGGGTTCAAAATCAAAACGATGACAGAGAATGGAATCCGCCTCCTCCGAATTATACAGGAGGAAAATGGAAACCCGTTCACTACTTCTCCAATAAACCAAAAAGTCCTTCGCCTTCATCGACTGATTACAAACGACCTAATCATCCTGAACCACCACCACCTAATTACACCAAAGGGAAATGGAAACCTCCAGTTCTGCCAAGGAATAAAGAGTATCAGGAAGATGAAAAATGGGACCCGTCTGTTCCGCCACCGTCACATACTAAAGGTAAATGGAAACCTACAGTGGAAGTGAAGTCCTCGGCTCCTCCTCCGTCTCATACAAGAGGCAAGTGGAAACCAAGAGACAGAGAAGAATTATGTACCGCAGTCAATAAAAAAATCGAGGGAAGGCCGTTTGTGAAATCTAATGGACGAATCCATTATTGGTGTGGTCCTTGCAATAGAAGACTTTCCTCCAAAATAGTCTACAACAGACACTTAAAATCTGAACTTCATCTGAAAAGAACCAACGACGGAGATCTAGAAGTACTTCCTCGAGTTAAAGAGAAACAGAAATTGACGAAAATCAACAATAAAGTTTCACCCGTTCCTGAAAAAGCGGTAAAAAAAGAACTGTCTGAAAAGCAAAGAAAACGTAAAAAACTTTATAAACACTGCGACGTTTGTAAATCTCGCGTTAATATGAAAAGCATCGGAAAACATCTAATTTCCCACTACCACTGTCGAAGAGGTGATCCTGTGGCCCCCGAAACACAACAACTGATCCTGGACAATATCCACAACATTGTGCTTCAATGTCCATTTCAATGTGCTCCGTGTAAATTCTATTGTAATACCCAAGAAACGTTCTTGAAACACTGGACGTCTTTGTCCCATAAAACCAAAAATCATTCCACCAACGGCTACTTCAACTGCGGATGCTGCAAATTCAGTTGCATCGAATCGGACGAAATGCATCAACATTTAATAGGTCAAGAACATTTAGAAGTTATTTCTGTTATAAACGGTTCAGTGCCGATCGTAATAAAGCGACTATCACCAATCAGTTGCGTGACTTGTGGAGAAGAATTTCTGTTAAATATCCAACTGAGAAAACACTGCGAGAGACTGGGACATTCATTCGCCAACACAGCTTCTGATACATACCAAAGCAAATACAAGTGCTCATCTTGCAACGGTACGTTTAAATCGGCCATAGCTCTTCAAAGACACATGCTCTCGGCTCATAACACTAGCACATTTATATGTGGCACATGCTCTGTTACTTTTAATGACATCGAAGAAGCAAAGAACCATAGAAGGACTTGGGAACATAGGCAGAAAGTTTTGGAAAAACGACAGAAGCAAACCAAAGATGGGAGCGATCGAAAAGAATGTCATTTCTGTTCCAAAGTATTCAGTTCGTTTTCGGAAATGAAGGAACATCAAAAGGTCGAGCATCCAGATATAAAACACAGGTAAATACACTAAACACACAACACAAAATTAACCCCCACAACAAGAAATTGTCTCAGTTAAACGTATTTTTCATGTTTGTCGTGTTTTGTTTTCATTTTAAAGTCAAAATAAAGTGTACACAATGACATCAGAAAGTAATGACTGAAACTTGTAAATTACAATTAAAAGATCGAGGTACGAACAAGTTACAAACCTTTGAAAATATGCATAGTTTTGAAAAGTTTTTGCTGCAGCAACATTTTTGTTGAATAGTGTAAAATTAATAAAACTTTTGTTGCAGTTGTCCTTACTGTGGGAAAAGTTTTACAATCCCCCAGGACCTAACAGTCCACATCAGGACAAAAGCCTGTTCCTTTACAGACACCGAAGACAAAGAACACACATGTAAACAATGTCCTTTCAAAACCGACTCCATGTCAGATTTTCTCTTCCATAACGCTCTTCACACCGAACCCCTCATTCTCTATCCGGAAGAAGAACATTCCCAACAAGCCCACAAGAAACCCATCGAACAGTACAAGTGTCCCGTGTGCGAGAAGTTTTATCCCAAGTCATCCCTATTGGGTCATCTCAGATTGCATACCTCAGAAAGACCTTACGCCTGCAAAATATGCCGTGCAAGTTTCGCCAGGAAGAACAATCTTCTCTACCATATGAAGAAACACACAAAGAAAGATATGGCAGGAGATTTAAAGGAGAAAACTGGAGATGGAGAAAAATCGAGGCTGCACTTGTGTTCTGCCTGCGGAGCCAGCTTCCGGAAACGGTGAGTTATTTTGAGTAGGTAATTGTTTTGAGATGAAAGGGATGTGTGCTTGGGATGATTGAGAAATGACTGGATATCACCGCATTATATATTAATGTGGCAGAAATTAAATTTTGGGATTATTGCTTTTATTTGTACTAGAAGACCTGACTTCGTGTAAAATTTCGATATTCTAGAATCTATATCATCGGGGAATACCCTACAAATTTTGATTTATTATTCGATATTTTTAAATATAGCGAATAAAATTAAACTTGAATTTACGTAATTTGCCTAAATAAACATAAATGATAAACAATAACTCCGCAAACAGTGAATACTTTTCAACTGCACTGGCCAAAACGTATGACGTCATGCGGTTTCTCCAAGGTCATAGCTAGGGCGTGGTTTTTTAACAGAAAGGGGAAAACCGATTTTACAAATTTATTAACGAAAACATAAACTTCATTAGCAACTAAAAATGTACACATTAACAGAATTGCTCAACGAGCTTTACACAAATTCTCAAAAGAAAGAAAAATCAATAAAAAAAAAACAAAATAATAAAATAAATAGGTAGCCTTACTTATTATAATCTTCGAGACCCTGTACAATCATATTTGTAAGGTTTGAAAATGAATCTTCAATTTTGAAATCACTTAATGCACATATCACGAGGATAGACGCGTCTGTACCATTAGACGCCAAGATGTCTTTTGCTTCTCAGTCTGATAGAGCTGAGGGGTCAGGGAAGCGTCGATCGATCGTCCTCTTCAAACGCGCCCTCTTCGAAAAACCCTTTTAAACGCGCATTGCACTACCGTCCGTAAGGCCGGTGAAACTTGCTTGATGATCAATTACAGACGTTGTAGAATGGATAAAGAGTATTTGAACTTTAAAATAGACCAACTTACAACTGTATTTAACGTAGTTTTTGAATTTAAGCTTCATAAAACGTGTACATAAAGCTTAGCATGAACTCACGTAAAGTAAATACAAAAATTGACTTCGGGGGGTAGCTCAATATTATTCAGGCCCATAGTGTTCGTCAAGTAAAGTCATTGGAAAACAATAAAGTCCAAGAGAGTTAAACTATTCTAGTACTGTAGATACAACGTATGAGACCTTAAATTAGCTAATGATACTGAATTATTCAGTGGATCGTACTAATTTACTATATGTAAGGACAAGTAGATAAGACAATTTTTTTAACATTAGGTTTGTGAAATGATATTCGTGTGTCCATATGAGTTGATAAGAGTTGGAGGTTTTGCAAATAGTTTACCAGGTATTTTCAATTAAAAGAAGCTGGTCTAAAATTGCTTTTTATAATTTCAGTCATAGGTATTATTAAATTTATATGGATGTTTGGGAGGTGCAATCAGAGTCAAGAATACATAAAATTATAATTTCGTGATTAATTAGGTTTTGCAGCATATCATGAGGCAAATAAATACTATCTATACTAAAAAAAAAGTATACGGTTTGAGAGAAAATTTGGAATTTGATCAAAAACTTTAAATAAAATAAGAAATAAGGAATAGTATGGAAATCTTTTAACTGACTTTTGGCAGTAAATATGCCCTGTTTAGTGAATCGATTTGTAATTTTTACAGGAGTTTTAGAATTGAATGAGGAACGTTCTTCCAAATTTTTATTTGTCTTTTAGCATTTTGACATACCTCCCAAACATCCTGGGTATCAAAGGTTGTAAAGTTCATAGCATTGATGGTATGAAAACTTTTATGAGTACCAAATTTACTTCTCTATAAAATAATCCAAATCGAATCGAATTCAGCAAAGTATAGAAGCCTTTAAAATGAAGCAATACTCTTTTCCTATGAATTAGTTTTCACAGATAGTCTTGTGACTAGGGTTGCCACCTTTTCAGGCTTTACATAAAGTATTTCTAGACTAAAAGGTTAAAAAAAAAGTACTCAGCATAAAAATAAAGTATTTTATTTTTTGTTTTTAAAAACATATTTTTTGTTACACCTAGCAGCCAGTAACAAATTGCTGTCGCTCTTAAATACATTAATAGCCTCTAAACATGGCAAACAAAGATTTAAGTAAACTAAAAGTTCATTTTTAATTAGTTTTAATGAAGCTTTATTCCTGTCGTCCCGCCACTTTGCGTTCATAACAGAGAATACTCTTTCTGTAAATGCTGAAGTGGCCGGAACGGACAGCAAAAGTGACACTACTTTGAACAGATTTGGGAAATCAGGTTGTTCCGTAAATATGGCTTGCCATTTTTCTGTGCAATATTATTGATGTAAAAATACTCTGAATTTCGAATAATCGCTTACAAAATTACGATGTTTACTTAAGGCCTTAAATAAAGTATTTTTGCGTACTTTATGTGTCCTGTAAAGTATAACGTACGCACAGTCGAAATAGAGTACAGTACTTTATAATATAGTACGGGTGGCAACCCTACTTGTGATATTCATCTTGGCCTTTAAAACTTACTTCTGAGAGTACGTAATTATTGTTATGATACAACTTAACTACTTCAAATTAGCAAAAGAGAAAATTTTCACCACACTACACAAATTTTTAAAGTAAGAAAGGTGATTTAGAAAGACAAGCATCCATTTTGAAGCCTCGCAATCGTTTTCATCGGGCAGAGAGTTGATTGTAGTGGAAGTATAGGTACATATATATACGACGAAGACTAAAGAAAAAGGAGAATGAGAATGAGAATGAGGAGAAGGAGGAGGAGAAATGATTTGTAATTACAAGGCATGGCGAAGTGATATATCGAATCATGCCAATCTCCAGCTGGCGGATTTTTAAGCTCGCGTTGAATTTATTGCATACTTTTAAGCCCCCAGCGGCCGTAAATTTTGAAGGGACTCTTCGTAACTTGTCTGCGAGGAGTCACTCCATGATGCATGGATCTTTGAAATGGACCCGTTAATGTTTTATCTGCGCTCCCGAAGCCTTTATCTAAATTTGAATCGATTGCATCGTCGTCATTGAACGCCATCTCTTTCTTTTTCTTTTCTCGCCATCAGGCCACTTTGTCCTTCATTTCTTTACGTCACGCGTTTACAATATATGCGTTTTTTTTTGCATATTTTTTAAGTCTTACGTTCGAAATCAGAAAAACTAAAATACTGGTAATGAAGTATTTTATAAATACAGTGTAAACTCTTTATAACGTCATTCGATTTAACGAGAAACTCCTTAAAACGTCGAAACTGCTTAACTTTGGTTGGTTTACATTGTTTTCTATACAATATTACACTCTATATAGCGTCACGCTCACTCTATTTAACGACAACAATGCGGCATTATAAATCATTGAGCAGTACTTTCTAAGTTGCCGAAATAGATAAGAACTGCAGCTGTGTA